ACCAGTGAGGCCCCACCGCATCACCACCCCATGGCCAGACACCGACCACAGTGGTCTGCACGCGAGCACGGAGGCGCAGCGTGGCCATCTGCTCCGGGTGACGCTGGGGCACCCTGCACAGCTGCAGCGGCCAGAAAGGGCACAGGCACCGCAGCACAAAGCAGGCAGCCCTCAGGCAGACATGCGGTGTCAGAGGGAAAAACCTCCTACGTCTCAGAACAAACTCCCTTTACAAGAGCAGCGCAGGAATAACGCCGTCCTCAGCACGCTTGCCACCCTGCTCTCTTGTTTGTGCTTGGCCGCCTGACTTTGCACGAGAGGGACGCGCCGTGCAAGCGCCCACCCGAGCTGCCTCTGCAGGGCTCTTCTTCCGAGCTAACTGAAACAGCGTGGGGCTGGCACGGAGCAGCCTGCAGGGCCGCGAGATGCGCAGCAAGCCCCCCGCGGGCTGGAAAGCTGCGGGGCCAAAGCGAACAACCCAAGGTTTTGCAGAGGGAGCAGCCACGGGCTAACACGTGCCTAACCTGGCATGACATCTGTGGCCACTGTCCCGGTGCCGCGGACTGGAGCGGACTACCCGGGACCTGCTTTACAGAGAGCAGAGTTCATCTAGACTGGATGGACGTGGGGAGGAACAGTGCAGAGCACAGTTCCCAGGGATGACACCGCAGCACCCGCTGTCACTGCCCAAATCATGTCCCTCTCCCATGTCCCACCCTGCCCTGCAATGTGGGCCACTAAGCAGAAACGCCACTCGCCAGCTCAGCCCACATCAGCAGCGAGACACTGGTAAGGAGACAAACCTCTCCGAGCGCAGCGATCCGACCGCACGGCTGCGCCGCGCTAGCCTCAGCCCTTTTCCTGCCTCATTGCACAAGCTCTTACTGCAAACCGTGGCTGTTTAAGTTTCCCACCCTGCTTGAGCCCCTGCGGGACAGGAGCCTCCTGGGCTGGGAGGTTTTGTTCCCACCTGAGCACCCACTTGCTTGAAAAAGCTTGCACAGCCGGTTAAGCACAGAGGAGCCCCCCACGGCGCTGCCCTCCCTCTGGGTCTCCAGCACGCTCGGGAACCCGCGCGGGCCGGCCGCTGCCGAGCCGTCGGCGCTCAGCGCCGGGAGACCGAGCAGGTTTCCTTGCAAAGACGACCCGGGCAGCGAGCTCGCCAGCTCCCGCCTCTCGAGAGCGATCGCCAGCGCTCTCAATTCCCCCCTCGCGGCACAAACGGCGCCTTTCAGAAAGCTGCTGGCTTCCAGCTGTTGGGCCACGGCTGGGAAAGCTCGGGGACCAGAAAGCGCCTGCTCCAAGTGTTGCTTTTTGCCAAGCCCTGGAACAAGTCCAAGCACAAGAAAGGAGCAGGAAAGTCCCCACTTCACCACCCTGCAGGCTGCCCCTGCTGAGCGGGCTCTCGCAGCAGCGCTGTCCCCGCTCCCAGCTCTGCCGTCCTCTCCCTGGCCGGCCCAAGCAGCAGGGTTTCTGGGCCGGCACAAACGCAGCCCTGCTGCACCCAGCCCCGGAGGAGGTTTAACCTCACCTCTGGGGGCACAGGAAGGAATAGCTTGTCCTCGCACCAACTCTGCGGACAGATCCTCCCTGACACAGCCGAAGACTGGCCCCTCTGAGCCGTGCCGGCGCAGGAGGGAAGGGAACGGGGAGGCTCCTGGAGAGCCAAAGGGGGAAAGAGCTATAACCACGGCACACATTTTCACTGGGCTGCAGCTCTGGTTAATCCGAACCCCCCTCCCACCGGCGGCTTCAGAGTTACACCAGAAAAAGTAATCAGCCTCTTCATGCAAAAGTTAAGTAGTGACGTGAAGAACGGCTGGTATCACTAGCAAAATGCTCCCAGCTGGGCCTCCTAGCAACCTGCCCAAAACAAAAAGCAGGGCTCAGATGGGAGAGCGGGGCCAAGGCTGGGCTTTTAGTTGGCAAGGAGCAGAGATTAGCACCCACGAGCCCAGCCTGCACTGCTTGCCAGGCCTCTGCCCCATGGCTGTGGGCTCTCGCTGGCTCGGGCAGCTGCTGCTGAGCTGCCCTGGGGACACCCCCACCCTTTCACCACCCGCAGTCGAAGTGGCGCTGGAGGGGGAGCAGGGGGAATGATGGGAAAAACTGGCACAACGCAGGGATGTCACCTCTCCTGCTGCTCCTTAGGGCACACTGTGTGTCACGAGAGCCACAACAGAGCCCCGAGCGCACATGCTTCCTAAACGCGGATGGCACCGGTACAGCCCTGCTAGGAGGGAAAAGCCCTGGGAGATGCTGGGCAGGGCCATGCCAGCCCACTCCATCCCCACTGCCTTCTGCTGGCAGGGCTGCACCACCAGCAAACTCAAAACACGCCAGTGGTTGCACCTGCCTCCAGCACCTCAGCAAGGGAGATGGAGCTGCACGTGCAAGGACGCCCAGGTCCCAGCGCCCACGTGGTGGCCGAGAGCCATCGTCCTGCTCCAGCAAAGTCAATTGCCCACTGCCCTGCAGCATCTCTCATTGCTGCAAGGGGCCAATGGTGTCAGCTACAAGCTAATTGGAAATGCTCTAGCTCATCATCTTGGCAGCCAAACCAATCCAGCTCTCCTTTGAAGCATACCTGCCGAGAGCTTTAATTTGTCAAGAAGCCTAGTGGGTCTCGTCTGAGCTCGATGAAGGACAACAAAGCCCCTGGTGGCTGCTGCCTCCCAGGAGGGCGATCTCGCAGCCCTCTCCCTCCTTCTCAGCTCCAGGGGAGGTGGAGGAGCTTGGGCAACTCTGGGAAGAGAAGCTGCTCTTTAGAGGAAAGGTGGCTCATCTTCACCTCATGCAGGACCTTCAGCAGAACAGAAACGGAAGCCAAAGTAAAGGATGAAAAGAAAACAGCAGAGAGAGGGTGGTCTGGGTACTGCAGGCTACAGGAAGGAATTTCAGAGACTCCAAGAGAAAGAGGCTCTTGTATTTCTCTTTGGTCAAAGGGAAAAAAAAAAAACAACTATCAGCTCCCAGCAGCTGTGCAGAGCAGCACATTCCTCAGGCTGAAATGTGGTTCTGCGGCTCCCAGGAGAGGAGGAACCCATAGCAAAAAGGGCTGAGCAAAGCTAAAATAAAAATTTGGAGACGATACAGTTTAGGGAGGGAGCAGGAAAGAAAACGCTATGGAGGTCATTTGGAGCAGAAGACATAGATCTCTCTCTTGTCCAGTCAAAGCCTGAGGAGCCCAGAGCGCTTCCTCAAACTAAAAACCTCCTTTTGGGATCCGCAGCCCTACAACTGCGCAGGAAACCAGCACAGAGACCATCTCGGCTAGCCTCGGGTGACTTGGCAGGAGGGCAGAGACATCCCCCCGGCTCCGCTCTAGTGCCCAGAATGGTCCTCACCCATGCCAGGTGCCCGTCGCAGCTTGCAGCTAGAGGGCAAGGACTCTGGCTTCTTACTTTCATCCTGCCCCCAGCTGCAAAGGAAGGACGCTCCCAGAGGATCTGGCTGAATTAGCGGAGGTGGAAACAGGCCCAGTAGATAAAAGCATCTTCCATGAGGGAGAAGAACATGGTGCATCTGTCAGGGCTTCCCACAGCCATTCGTTCCAATACAGTAGACCTAAACCCAACCTGCACGCAGGGTCTCGAGCGACTCCATGGCGGGCCAGGCCACAGGAGCCTAGGACACAGTAAGAACCGGTGGCTGCGGCCATCTAGGACCAACAGGAGCCCCGTTTCCACAGCTCCACCAGCCTGGAGTGACTAGGCGGAGCTTGGGGTCAGCTGAGCTCTGCTCCCCTCTGAGGGTGGATTTACGAGGATGACTCCCAGCAAAAAGCCCTTCCTGACGACAGGTGTCCGACTTTGCTTTCCCATGGGATGGCAAAGGCTGCGATTCCTGGAACGTTTTTAGCCTTAGCCACCGGACCCAGGGATGTGCGGTTTGGATGCACACCCCGTGCTCCTGGGCACCCCACTGCATGTGGACGCACAGATAGCCACTGCTACTGCGCAAGGCTGCTCCGGTGGGGCGCCTGCTCCAGCAGCTGTGCTTGCGGCCCCCAGCTTCAAAACCTCCTGAACTGACCCTCCCTGCACCTCAGCTCCCTGCTCCCTCCTGCCTGCCTGAAATCCACTCCAAGATATCCCAGAGCAGAAAGAAACATTCCCAGCAAAGAGCCAGGGCGATAGCATGCTCTCTCCCAACTGCGTAAATCTGCAGAACCACATGGCCTCACTCCAGCCAAGGATGTAGAGTTAAATGAAAATCATGAGAAAACCAGAGTCTACCATTGCCCTGTGAACTGGAGGACCTGTTCTGTAGGTGGCACCATAAAACAAAGGAGTTGCAAAACCCATAAAGACACCCCACACCTAATGTCACTGCCTGCCTGTGGTCCCTGCAGTGGGGAAACAGCATGGCTGGGCTTTGAGCAGTGGCATGAGCAGCACAAGCCCTTCTTTCTGTCTCTGGAGGGACATCCCAGAAACTATTTCCAGCTCCCTGGATAAGCAGATAAGCCAGTCTGCACATATTGTTTTTCATTTAAAAGAGTATGCAAATGTATATGCAGAGTATGTGGCACCCTCAGGCTCCCAGCACAGCACCAGTGCAGCCCTGGTGCAGCAGAGTGGGTGCCCTGCGTGCCTGATGTTCGGCACACATCTGGCTTCCAGGGCACCCGGTGGCGCAACAGGCTCCGGCAGCCCGGCCCAGTGGGGAGCACGGTGCACGGCCCCACGGCACTGGCAGGGGTAACAAAACCCTGCGTGCAGGCTGGCTGGCAGAGCGGGCACAAGCGAGCTTCCCTCACATTAAGGCTCCTCAGTGCCCACCCCAAATGCTTTGGTATCTGCTCCCACAAAGACCAACCGAGAGCTGCAGGCCCTGGACGCGCTCCTGGCTGTGAGGTGCTAGCAGGCGGAACGATTAACACAGGGCGGTTTATCACACAGAAATAGAAGTGACTAGGTAACAGCATCTGGGAAAACACATCAGCCACGTCACTGCATGCACAGAGCGGAGGGAACAGGAGCACCCACATCTCTTACCTTCCAAGACCACCTCCTTGCCAGTCTTCTTCAGCGCCTGCACTGCCTCATCGTGCGTTGCCTCTGAAAGGTCGGTCCCGTTCACAGAGAGGATGGCGTCTCCCACGTACAGTGCCTCCGTCTGATCCGCTGCCAGCCCCTTAAATATCTTGGATATCAAGATGGGCATTTTATTCTCTCGGCCACCTTAAAGCAGAAGAGAGAAGGCAATTATGGGTGTTGTGTGCACACACAAGTGTGCGTGCGGACAGGGAGTGCTTGGGTACCAGCTGGCCTCAGCAAATGTTTGTCCTTCTCCCAGGACGCAGCCCTTCCTTGCTGGGACTAGCCCATAGCTCGGATGACCTCAGCATGGATATAAGGACAAACTACCACCGAGGCTTTAGAGCAGATGAAGGTAACTGCTCCAAAAAACTAAGAGGAAATCTGCAGACATTGGGAGAGCAAACACATAGCCTTGCCATCCCTCCATCAATTTTGGCAGAGAAACCATTTCATTATTCGCATTATTAATTGTGCGTGTTGAGTGACCATCTTTGCTCTGTGGACTTTATGATCTAAACAGATAAGACAGCTGAATGTTTGGAGAAGTGAAAGAGCCAGAGAGAAGTGAACCAATCTGGATATTTGTTCCTCTCCACACAGTAGCCCTTTTTACCTGCTCTTCCCCATTCTTCAACCTAAAAGGATGCTATTCAAACATCACTGGAGCTTAAGGAGATCGATTTGCATGTTACCTTTTGAACCTGCAGGGAGATCTGAGCAGCATTTCTTCACGTGAGCTAAGGAACGGCAATGCAGCAATTATCTTTAAGCCTCTGCCCTGATGCAGGAGGAAAAGCGCTACAAGCGCTTGTACGGAGCTGGGATTGGGATCACCAGGCACCCGACCTGCGCGTAGGACACAAGTCCTATGCCTAAGCACAGTCAATCCCACGGAGAGTCTCAGAGATGATCTGTTTTCTCTGAGGGACATCCTGACCCCAACTAGTACACCAGCAGCATGCCTAAGAGCAGAAAGTTATCACCGGCTGCCCCGGGGCTGCTCGCAGTCAGTGCCCCAGGCATTTCCTTGCTCAGATCTCTGACAAATCTCTCATGGAGCAGAGGACTCTGGTTATCAGCTGTCAGAGAGGCCTCTGCAGGGGCCTCTGTGAGCTGCTAAACGGATCCTTATAGCCATGATGCCTAATCTGTGCTCAGGCTGCGGATGCAGGGAGCATCCTGCCAGGGTCTGGAGTGGCTGTCTGACTGCCTGGCGTGCTGCTGGTGGCTGACTGTCTTCAGCACAGGCTTTCTGATAGCTCCCGTGCATCACCCTAAGCCAGCAGGGAAAGGGAGTGCAGTCCCACTCCCTCCACGGCTCCCCCAGCCCCTCTGAACAGGGCTGCAGCCGGGGGGTTTCGCCACAGCACGAGCCACCGTGGGCGCAAAGGGATGGCTGAAGAGCCAGAGTCCTCACGCAAAGGACAGCTCGCTGTGGCTGGGGTCTGGCTGTAACACCACGACCAGCAGGATCCAGTCCTGACTGAGCCACTTGAGGTCCTGCCGAAATAATTATGTGCAAGTTAGGTGAAGGGAGAGGGAGCAACTGCCAACCAGAAAGAGAAGTGGGAGAAGCAATGGGCGGGCAGGTGGAAGCGATGAAGCAGCTCCACTGGCTGCGAGCTGGCTTCCAGCATGACTCCCCAGTGAAGAGACAGGCATTTGCACGGCTCACGTTTGATTCTTCCACGGCAAACAGAGCCCAATCACAGCAAGAGGAAAGCTAGCACAGGAGCAACAGTGCTGGTCCAAGGTTTTGGAGCCAAGTAACCGTACCCAAAACATGTCTCAAGACAGGGCACTTAGCCCTCACCCTTAGCCCCTAACCAGGGCAGCTCTACACATCCAGGTCTCAAGGAGCAAACAGACCTGCTCTTCAGCATTACCTCACCTGGGGGGCAGCAAAAATCAATGGGACCCACACCTGGCACCAGCGCATAGCTGAGGGCTGGGGATGCTGCCCAGGGCAAGGAGCAGAGCAGAGCACCCTGCCCTCTCTGGCAGCCCGCTCGCATGGGGCTGCCCCAGGCAGGCTCCCTGGGTTGCACAGGGCCAGGACACGGAGCAGGGCCATGCCCAGGTCTCAGCAAGCTCATGACACAACCAATGTGTGCAGCCAGGCCAGGGAGCCTGCCGCCGCCCCGGCGTCCTCGGCCTAACCGCAGTCCCTGTGGCCTCCTAGGTGCAGTATCAGCCCCTGAGCTCCAGCCACGTCCCTAGAGCAGCCCACTGCAAAAAGCCTCCACTCACAGCGCAAAGCACAGCTGCTGTTTGCACCAGAAACCAAGGGGAGGCATTTCTTCAGTATTATGCAGATGTTGTCTCTTTGGCATAACAGCCTACTGCCTCGCACCCTCACCCAGAAAGAGGGAAACGGGAGCCAGGCCTGCGTCAGCCAGAGCAGGCTGAGTCAGCACCAACACCAACCCTAGGGCTGCACGCCGCTCTGCACAGCACCAGCCCCATCCCACCCTCGGGCCACCACCGAGAGCGATATAAGGCTGTTGAGGCTGGAAGGAGAGAAGCAAGAGGCAATTCTGTGGCCTCAGCCCTGGGGCACTCAGGCATTTTGCAGTAAAGAGTCCTCAGACAACACAAACTGCCCTGAGGGCTGGGACCAGGACTCCTGGGGCCAGCCTATCTGAGCACTCCTGCTCTGCAGAGCTGTAACACCTAAGCTGTTTTCACACTCTGCTCAGTACGCGCTTCTGTGGTAAACTCTGAGGTTAAACTACAAGAAATTTATTACTTTTTAATGGGAAAGTGTCACCACCCCAGTTAAGAAGGACCAATGCCTTCCCTCTGCAACAGCGGTGGTCACCTTCAGAGCTCTGTGACCAGCTGTAATGGTTTATAGCTCCCACTTTGGATTACTGCCACTTGTTTTTCACATATTTTTTCACTGCAAAAATAAAGTTTTAACTGAACCAAGTAACATTTCTCCTTTCCTAGGAGAGTCACAGAGGTAGCGATAACTTCGCAGCCAAAGGATTATCACAAAGGGGATTTTACACTTCCCAAAAGGAAGCACTGGCAATCTCAGGCATCCCATGGTGGCAGGCACAGCAAGCAGCATGAGAGAAGCAAGCTGGTGTTTCGATCCAATCCCAGCAGACGGACATCCACATCGCAAAGTCTCCCTACATTGGGCACTTGTACAGCTGAAGCGGAAGCAGGAGGTTGAGGCTAAATTCTCTCTGGCCACCAGAGGCGAAGCCACGTCAGAAGGTAAGATTCATACCACCACTGCCTATGGACCACCATGCATGCAAACTGGCCTGCTGTTACATTAAATTACAAACTCTTACCCATGCACAGGGATGGACCTTTGCCCGTGGTTGACTATTTAATCCTTCTTTCACTGAATTTCTAACAAGCTCAGAGCTGCATGAAAAATAAACACAAAAAGAAATGCAATCCCTGCCCTATGAAGTTTTCAGCCTAAAGTTCAGGCAAATCACCAAGGAGCAGAGAAACTTGGGAGGGGAGTACCAGAAAGGAAAACAAGAATTACAACAGCAAGGCTTCCCTGCTGCTCAGCCCTCCGAGACCGGACATCTTCAAGCTTGAGAGTGTTGTTTTAATGCCCCAGCTCTTAAGAAGTACTCTGTGTCTGCAGATCCCCAAGGACCTTACAAAGGTTGCAATCATTTTCTTCATTCTGCCGACAGTTTAAAAGGGACATTTGTCAGCCCAACAGACATAGGGTCACTGAGGAAACCAAGACAAACATGCAGAGACCTCTGTTTGATGCAAAGAGGCAGCTTTTCTGTAACATGGGTACCCTATGCGTCCCATCTGCTTCTTCAGACATCTTCCCTACCAGGAAAGTGCCAGCGTGTGCAAAGTCGCAGTGGGAGAAGAAGCTCCGCCAGTCCTGGCTTACCAACAAAGGGCTGTGAGCACCACCCTCCAGTGTCCCAAGCACAGGAGAGCAGAGCCCTGCTCCTGGTTGGGGGCTCCTGAGAAGCTGGTCTGTCACCCGGCCTCCCTCCGGCACTCTGTGCACTGAGCTCTCCAGGAGCCGTCTGCCTTTAAAACCCAGCTCTTAGAGCATGCAGCAAACATCCTTCAGGCCCTTCGTACTCTAGCTGTCACACCTCCCACCTTGCCCTTGCTCATCTCCTTTTGGGGTAAGTTAAGAGACTGACTGAGGCGTGAGAACCCCAGTTCCTCCCCAGTGCAGAGAGATGAGCTCGGCTCCTGGATATAGTTTCCATTCAGTGGAAACGCGGAGTCGAGCTGCAGAATCCAGTCTTGAGAAGGGGACGGCAACAGGTCGCTTCCCTCGAAATCCCCGTCTCGCAGCCCTCGCTGAAAACGCTCCGCTCCCCCACGAGGTGCATCACCTCTGCTTCCGACTTGGAAGGTCAGACCCGCGGAGCAGCCGCGGCCCGGGGAGCACAGGCGTCCCAGGCTGCCAG